AGACCATTTGATATTTATTTGCTTGTAATACAGGTATAAACTTTTCATATACCTTTTTCCTTAATAATCCAATCTACCTTTCCTTAATGATCATTTTTTCTTTATGAAAGTGCCACTGATTTTGCCTCCACATTTGACTTATATAATTTTCCCAATCAAATCAGGAAAGTTATCTGATACACGCTGGTGTATCAGAATGCGAGTGGGGGCAGCCCCCCAGTGGTCATAAAGTTGTTATCCACTGCAGCAGCCCAAAGAATATGCACTTCCCCCAAAATAACTAAAATCAAACCATTTAATTTTTGTATTTATTTGATTTTCTTTGAATAGAACCGTTAATGAAGAGAACCAAGAGATGAAGGAACAGCAATAAATGAAGGTACAACAGACACTTGTTGGTTAAATACTTCAAGAGAAAGAGCTCTTGTGCAACACATAATGAAAGAAGCCTCATAGATTCCATTGGTCTTAAGCTTACTGTTACTTTTTATTGAGCTCTATTCACAATGCCAACTTGCGTTAATTCACGTTATCCTTCAAATTTCTTACATTAGTTATACTTTTCTTTTAGATCAAGATCAGTCCAGTAATTCAGCTGCTGCTCTTGCGGTAGACAAAATACAAGTGTCAACAACTTCGTAGATTGTCCCATGAGTTGAAGCACATTAAGACCACTAAAAAAGACTCCATCAGCAAGGCAAACAGGATTCAAAGGGCACTTAAGCTGCTAGATGGAATAGTTCCTCCTGATCTTTTAAGCTTTTTGAAGCAACAGCTCAAATTTTCCCATTTAAAGTCAAAAATGAGAAACTATGATAATAATGCTAGAGCATGGGCTTTGACATTATATCACTTTAGTGGAAAGGCATATAGTATTTTATTCAAAATTTTTCACCTGTCATCCAAGAGAACAATGGGTAGGGTTGTGTCAAAGTTTGCATCAGATGCTGGTTTCCCAGAAAAGTCTTTGTATGTTGTGAAACAGCGGCTAGCTTTTTCACTTTCCCCTGGTGCAAAAGTTTGTTCACTTGATGGATGAAATATCCTTGAAAAATCATTTGTTTTATGATATCTCCAAGGATACTTTGATTGGTACAGAAGATTATGCAGACAATAATTATTCTGGTCTTCTTGCAAACTCTGTATTGGTATTGATGGTCAGGGGTATACTGCATAACTGGAAGCAACCTGTTGCCTACTTCCTTGTTAATGAACCTTTTTCATCAGGCAGATTAAAGGGCATTATCAATGAAGCACTTCTCAGAAGCCATGGGTTCAATAGCTCAATAGCTCAAAGAGCTTATTATCAATAGCTCTTTCGATAATAAGTGACCAAGGTTCCAACTTTCTTTCTTTTGCAAAGGACCAAGGAGTTTCCACAAAAAGCAATATTTTGAAATGAGAGGGAAGAAATATTTGTTATTTTTGATCCTCCACATCTTCTCAAGTCAGTACGGATTAACTTGCTGATTTAAGCTTGAATTTGGTCATAAAACAGCATCTCGGGATGACATTAAGTCCTTCTATCACAGAGAGCATAAGCTTGCAATCAGGATGGTCCCAAAGCTGACTGAGAAGCATATTGATCCCAATGGCCTTTTAAAAATGAGGGTGAAACTGGCAAGTCAAATCTTTAGCCATTCTGTTGCAGCTGGAATATATGCATATGCTAGCATGAATGTCTTGAACAGCAGTGCTATAGGCACAGCAGAATTTATTGAGAAAATGGATGTTCGACTCTGTTAACTCTTTAAGCAGTAGGGATCTCAAAGTCCAGCAGAGACCATTCACGAAGGATTCACCCCATTTTAAGATAATGGAAGAAGGAATTGATTTCTTTAAATCCATTCAGGTGATTGACAAAAACACCGGCGAAAACAAAACATAAAATTTGAAATGTCTGAATGGCTGGGTTATTACATTGCAATCCATTTTTGGTATGTGGAAAAAAGTTGTATCTTGATGGAGTAGCTTCGTTTCTTGTAACAAGCCAACATAACCAAGATCCGCTTGAAAACTTTTTTGGCTCTATCAGACAGAAAAGGTGGAAATTCTAATAACCCCACTCCCACTCAGTTCAAGCGTGCATATAGGAAGCTTTTCACAATAATCTTCTCCAAGTGACTAGTGGCAATTGTGAGGATTAAAGAGACCAGCCACTAAAAAAGGTTTCCAACCTCCAAGATATAGACCCAGTCCCAACATCCTCCCAGCAGACAGCACCCCTGAAAATAATGTCTTCAGATTATGCTAGGAAAGACATACAGATGAAAATGGTAAAAGAAAATGCATTAGTGTATGGGTACCTCTTGAGAAAGACATTTGCCAAGCATAAATGCAATATCTGTGAGGCAGCCTTAGTAAATAGCCAGCAGTACGATGATGGTACAATATTTACCCATTTTAAGGCATATGATACTGGAAGCAATATGTTTGGCAGTTTGATTGTTCCATCAGATGAAATGCAACGCTTCACGAGAAAGCTGGAGGAACAATTTACAAGCTATTTTCGAAAATTGAACAAAACAACAGGCATTGGAGGGCAGTTATACTAAATTTTAGCAGAAGAGGTTCTGAACCAGCCTTGTGAAAAGTTCGACAAAAGATTTCTCTTTATGCTTTTTATAAGGTTGAGGATATATTATTGTCTCAAATTTGGTAACAGAGAACTTGCTTTGTCAAAAAGGAAAAATAGAAAATATTTAAAAATAGTTCATCTTTAAGTTAGCCACAGAGGTTTTTTCTCTCTGTAGATAAAGGAATGATAAGGATAGGAGGCTGCTCAATGAACACCGATTGATGAAATTCTTGCTGTAAAAAATTCGATACGAAGACACCAAGAGCAAACAACAATAGACACACGTAAATTAACTGTGGTTTATATCAAATTATTTTACTTTAGTTTTGAAATATGACAGGTTATATTGGAATATGAGAGGCAGAAAGAGGGTAGAGTGTTTTAAAGTTTACAAGACCAAGGGGGGACAAGGCTACTTTCGATCAACTTCTGAATATAAAAATGGTCAATATCAGATGTTTTTATTCTGAATAGTGTCAGATGAAAAGTACTTCAGAAAGCTACGCTTCTGTATGCTATGTTTCTGCATACAGACATGAATCACAGGCATTGCAGTTTCATTTGCTTTCAGATTAGGTGTTATAATTTGGTGTACTGTAATGTGATGCAATGTATGATACTTTGTCAGAAGTGGAGCCAAAAAGACCCCCTTGAAACATTATTTTTAGAATCAGTACACCATAATTACCCTATTGCACTAAATTTGGAAAACTTTCTTTATTGGGAGGAATATTCTCAAGCCGCTTCTGTCCATTTTGTGTGAAAACGAAATTTAAACATGAAATTGAGGTCAAACGCCCCATTATATGTACTTATTATATCAAATTTTGGAATCAGCATCCTAAAATCATCTAGATCCAATGAATATTAGATACTTCAACGAAGGGTGGACCCTTAAAAAGCAACTTGCTCTATTTTGATTGAAAACGAGACTTTGGCATGAAATAGAAGCTGGAGGCCCCCCAACTTGCCCGTATAACATCGATTTTCAGAATCAGCACCCCAAAGTTACTCAAACCCACCTAATTAGAATTAATTCCCTGAGGGGGGACCCTACCCCCATATAATGTATCTAGCCTGTAATCAATCTATATGTCATCATCTCTGTATCATGTTTGTAATGTACTGCTGTCACTATGCTTTGTACTCTGTTGTTGTTGATTGATTGTAACCAGATTCTTTTATTATCAGTAATTGTAATTAACAATGTAAGTTAGTCGTGATTCAGAATATGATGCATACAGGCGTATAAACCAGTGTCCTTTAATAGCGTTTACGCTACATTTTGGTGATAGGAATGGCGACCTACATTATTCCGGAACGATCCAGCTCTGGTGATTTCCTTTTGTGGTTTCGCCATTTTGATTGCTGTGCTCAAGCCAACTCGTGGAATGAGGAAACCCGCTCGTGCAAACTGCCCACTTTTCTACAAGGACCGGCCGCATCCTATTTCGAGTCACTGGAAACTCATGATCGCACCACGTACCAAGATTTGGTCGACAGCCTGAAGAACTGTTTTGCCCCTGCAGTAAACCGGGAACAGTATTATCAAGAGTTTGAGGAACACCGTTTACAACAAACAGAGGACCCTACCTTTTACTTGTGGCAGCTTAAAGATGCCCTCCACCTCGCTGAACCGGATTTATCCGAAGATGCCTTTGATGCCCTTTTGCGACGCCAGTTCTTCAAAGGCCTACTTAATGTTGTCCAGCTGAAGCTCTTGGAATCCCATCCTACCCCAGGATTGGACGAAATGGTGGCGTTTTCGAATTGGTTTCGATTGCTTCAAGTTTTGCCCTCCGGCAATCCTGCATGTGCTACTACCACCCACACTGTAACTCAGCAGTTTCCTTGAGATGAGCCGCAATGCAAGTCACACGATGACCTACAAATGTTGTTGACACAAGTTGTGGAAAGCCAGAACTAATTGATCACAGCTATCGGTGAATCAAGGAGTAGCAGTCGGCCAGAAATTCGTTGTTTAGAGTGCCATGAAGTGGACCACATGAGACAGCACTGTCCACGCCAAAAACGTTCTGGAAAGCGAAATCGACAATGCTCACTTTGTTCTGGATGAGGACACAACGAAAGTATCTGTGCAAACAACAAGGGCCGATTCACCCAGGAAGGTAACGGGCCTAGGCCCTCTCGGTTTCCAGACAATCAACAATTTGGTAATTCAGCTAGGCCTCATCATATAAATGGTAGTAAGGCGTCTTTAAACTTGCAAGGGGTTCCTCGTTAAGGGGCTGGGCTGACAAGCACCCCTCTGTTTTTGCTGTTGGTTCTGCTTCGGACTTTTGTTTGAAACCCTTAGCCCCTCGCCAACCCCTGCTATTTTGTGAGCTTGAAGGTGTGCAGATTCCAGTTTTAATTGATACTGGTTCCATGAAATCCCTGCTTAGTTCAAAAGTCTTACAGCGTATGTAGGAGAGTTCTTGGTATGTGATAATGTGCTTGCCCCTCTGCAATGTGTACTTGGTTGGGATTGTTTGACCTTTTATTCTTTGCAGTTGACTGTAGTAGGGGACTCCTATTGCCTTGTTGGGCCCCATGGCAGCACACCTTTGACCCCTTTGTCTCTTCCTGTCCAACCTCCACCCCCAGGTCTTTCTGCCCCTGTCAAATCATCTTGTTAGGAAGATATACCTGTTTTTGTCCAATCATCAGACTATGGGCCTGTCTTTGTGACCTCAAGCACTGATATATCCATCCCAGGTAGAACAGAAAGTATTATACAAGCTCAAATCCCCAAGTGTTGTAAAGAAGAAATAGGTATGGTATGTAGCCTCAGTGAAGATTCTGAATTATCTTATATTACTGCATACAGTATTAGTCAAGCCTCTGAGCGGCGGTTAAAGGTTAAAGCATGTCCGCAGCGGTTACTGGCATGTAAGTATGACCCCAGAAGATAGAGAAAAAACAGCTTTTATTACCCCTGGTGGCCTATTTGAATTCCTTTGTATGCCATATGGATTATCAACAGCTCCAGCAACATTTTCTAGGGCCGTTAGCATTATATTATCAGGTTTAACCTATGATATATGCCTTTGTTATTTTGATGACGTAATCATTTTTTCTGATACCATTTAACAACACTGTGAGCATTTACCATCTGTTTTGCAACGCTTTTCTGAAAATGGGCTGCGTGTCAAGGCTTCTAAATGCTCTTTGGTACCGATCAGGTCATTTATTTAGGTCACTGTGTCTCAAGTAAAGGGGTTCATACTGATCCATCTAAAGTTAAGGCTGTGCAGGATTTACCCCCACCAACTGACCTGGACAAGCTTAGATCATTCTTAGGACTAGCAGGGTATTATAGGCGTTTCATCCCTCAATTTGCAACCATGGCAGCTCCTTTGACTGAACTTACCAAGAAAGGTATTCCGTTTAAGTGGACAGAACAGCACCAGACTGCTTTTGAAACACTAAGAGCACTCTTATGTTCTGCTCCCATCTTGGCGAACCCTCAGTTTGATTGACCTTTTATTTTGCAAACTGATGCATCCAATGTTGGCCTTGGTGCTGTATTATCTTATGCCAGTCAGATCCTGTCTCCTCGGGAGCAAAATTATTCCACCATGGAAAAGGAAGCCCTGGCTATTGTCTTTGCCACTCAACACCTTCGTCTTTATCTTGTAGGCCATGCATTCCAGATTATCACTGACAATCAGGCCCTTAAATGGTTGCATTCTGTAGAACTTAAGGGTTGTATCGCCAGGTGGCTCATGGATCTCCAAGAATTTGATTTTACAATAAGCCATAGACCTAGTAGCTCCAACCAAAATGCAGATGCTCTCTCTCGTTTAAATCATTACCAAAATAGTCAAACCAACCCTGCTGTAAGTTGTTTAGTGAATTTATTACCAGATGCAAATCTGCATCAAGCTCAGCGTGCTGACCCCCTTATATTGAAGCTTATTGAAATTAAGGAACAAGGTTTTCCAAAACACCCTTTATTTGTGTGGAAAAGGAACCCCAATCTTTCATCTTTTTGGAGTTGCTGGGATCAACTGTATTTCAGTAATGGGCTGCTGGTAAGGGCCTTGGTATCTATGCATGGGTTTTCTAGGGAACGTGTGGTCATACCTGATAGTTCAATCCCTAATATTCTCCAAAGTCTTCATTGTGGCCCATATGGGCATTAGGCGCACTATAATGCGGTGTAAGGAACGATTTTTCTGGCCTAAAATGATTGATTCTATTACCAACTTTGTTCAAAATTGTCCAGCTTGTAGCCAAGGAAAACATGATTCCAAACAGACACGAGCTCCTTTGCAACCCATTCAAGTCAGTGAGCCATTTCTTTTTTGGGCAATAGATTATATGGGACCTATCTCTGAAACAAACAGCTAAGGGTAACAAACATATTTTTGTCATGATGGACCACTTCACCAAATGGTGTGAGGCATTCCCAACAAAGGATAAAAAAGCTGCCACTGTAGCCAATACACTTGTCTCTCGCGTTTTCTCCAGGTTTGGTCCACCGACGGTCATCCACTCAGACCAAGGGCGGAATTTTGACAGTACATTAATGCATGAAATTTATAATATCATGGGGGTTAAGAAGTCACGAACAACAGCCTATCATCCGCAAGGTGATGGGTTGGTTGAAAGGCAAAATCGCACCCTGCAGGACATACTTAGTAATTTTGTATCAGACCATAGTGGTGACTGGGACCAATGGTTAGACCAGGCCGTCTTTGCTTAAAACACAAGTGTACATGAATCAACAGGTTTCTCTCCTTATGAGTTAGTTTTTGGGCACCCAGCACGCATGCCCATTGAAATTGAGTTAAGTGTACCTCTGGAGAATCCATCAAGCCAATCTGATTATAGTCAGTCATTACGCAAGGCTATTCAGAATGCCAATCACATAGCTCTGAAAAGCTTAGAAATAGCTAAATCTAGACAGAGTTTGCATTATAACAACAAGATCCTCAAAGAATAGCAACCTTTTGATATTGGACAAAGATTTGGTTATGGTGCCCCAAAAGCTGGAAGTTGGTAGGAAATGGGTTGGGCTATACCAAATCTGCACTCTACGTGGGGTTAGCTATAACATCAGGTCAAGCAATGGGGTTAACTACACCCATTCTCGGCCTGGTCTAGTATTTCCAGGCATAGGAATCATGAGGTGTGATTACAAAGAAAGGACCAGGATACTGCACTGTAAGCATCGCTGCTCATTGTCCTAAAAATTTTCTTTGGAAGCTAGGTAGCAATACTGTTTTCACTTCTTGATTTTAGATTGATACTTTTACAAAATAAAAAGTTTGGTAAATGATCGGAGACTTTTGTTATTAAATTTCCACTTAATGTTTCATGTTCTATTGAATTTGAAAAAAATTCAATCAATGATGGTTTATTACTACCGATAAATCTAGTGGGCTGAAATATTTGTGGCTGGAAAAAGTTTGAAAACATAAAATTCATAAACTTTTCGGTATATTCATTTGAATAAATGTTTAAAAGATCAATATTGAAATCTCCAGTAATAAAGACTGTCTTCTTTTCCTTTCAAAGTTTACTAGAGATTATGTTTGTTAGATAATCTAGGAACTCAACATCATTTCTTTTTCTTGGATGACAACAAATAACAGCAATCGAGAGGTTTTTTATTGTTCTGAGATTTAATTTCGATCCAGTTTGCTTCTAATTCACTACTATTATCTAAGTGGGAAGTATACAAGTCTTCTCGAGTATTAAAAGATAGTTCGTCAGACACAAAGAAGCCGCAGCCCTTTTTCATACTTTTACCAGATTTCCTGTGTATTTTTGATACCCTTGTAACGCTAAATTTTCAGTATTTGATTCATTATTATTGGCTATCCGTGTTTCAGATAGAGCGATAATGTCAAGTTTCAAAGTTTTATTCAAAGAGCAAATATTTGTGTGTATCAGACTAAAGAAGGGTGAATGTTAAGAATTTAGTTTCTTATCTACCTTATGAAATTTGAAATTAGAGCATGCAAAATAGAATATTATATTAAAATTTGAAATTAGCATTTAAGTTTAAGTTTTGATCAATATCCTTATCTGTATTCGGATGAAAATGATTAAGATCAAGTTTATCTAGATTTAGTTCTGTAATAGTTTCTAAACATATGTAGTCTGTTAGTTCTTTTGTTACGTCATTACAAGGACATAGCTCATTAGAATTAAAGTTATTGGAAAGAATATCCTGAGCGTAAACAGAATTGAAAGGAAAAATACAGTTGCGACAGCTAAGACAAAGCCATTGTTGTGCGTCAGCACCTGGATTTGAAATATCTTGTTCTGTTAAACCAGAGCATTTCCTGATGTGAATATTGCGTTGACAATGATAACAAGAAACCGCTTTTTCAATATTATTTACACGTTTATCGCAAACAGAGCAGGATTTGTTAATGTCAATAATCAAATGGTGTTGGTTCTTGTCTACCGAAATCGCTCTTAAGAATGGAACATTTTCATTTCTCGAAAAGATAACGCATCTGCAACACAGTCTTTACAAAACCATGTCAAAGAGGTGTCATTTCCTAGTTATTTAAACCTTTGAATCGATCATTTGCTACAGCCCACCCAACGTGATACCAATTGCAACATGCGTCACAATATATTGAATTCTGACTCTCCAGAACCAATAATTTGCAATTCGGGCATGAATATGAATAACTACTCATTTAGATTATGGGGGTTAATTTTGAAAATCTGCTTGCCCTGCCCTGGTACTGGTAAAAATATTAATGTTAATAATTAAATAATAATAATGGTAGTAGTAAAGGACCTAAACTGAAACATCAAGACAAAAATGAAGTGTTAACATGAGTAAACTTTAAACAGTCAATCACCTGAGTTTCAAACAATATTTTTTCTAACGTCCAATTCATTTCTGATGGTAATGAATGCCGAATCCTTATTTTTTCTGGCAAAGATGCCAAATTCCTTGTCCACACGAATTCCCATCTGATTTCTTTTTTCTTATCTCTTGCCAGTTTAAAAAGAAACTTATTTTTTTTGGTTAAAGACTTGTTCATGAATACTCTAACGTCAGCAGCTTTCAACTCAGATCTTTTCCTGAAATTTTTCTTGTCTCTTTTCTTTTTTGCAAGAAAACATCTCTCAATTTGCTATTTCCGAATTTGCAGATAATAGTAGCATTGTGCTTGGGTCCAACATGGCAGCAGGCTTGAATTTCTGTATCAGTGCATTTCACCACAAGCTTTTCACCCAGCTAAATCACCAAAGACTCTTTTTCTCGTTTTCTTACTTAAGAATTCCATTAATTTTGATACAGTCTCATCGGCCATATTGTTCTAAGTCGTTGACTTTGTTATGGACTCTATTAATTTCTGCTTGTAGCTTTCCAACTTGTTTTTTGAGCACTTCATTTCCGGCCTCCAATTTTGTGTTTTTGTTGAGAATGGTATTGGTTATTTTTCTTTGGTTTTTATACTGGGTATTGATGAACTCTATTGACTTTTCGAAAACCATCAATCGCTTTTCCAATTTTTCAAAATTCTCTGTGTGTTGCGATGTCTGTGATTGAACTCCTCTTAGTATCAAAAGTATTCCGTCTATTTTCTCGTTGGTAGTAGCAGATTCCATACTTGACTCGTTTTGAGCTTGATTTACTTGTAAATAATTGAAAACATAGCAATAGCAGTAAATAAAGATAGCTAACATATTATACAACTTATTTAGAATATACAATTTCGATGAGTTTCTCACATTTTTACGAGCGTTGAAAAACACGTCCGAATGCCAGCAAAAAATGTGCAGAAGTACCCCTTTATTCCCCCCCTTGCCAGGGTTATGGTGAAGCAATGAGATGCCAGGAATGGAAAAGAAAAGCAAAAGAAGACATGAAAATTAGAGAATATGTTATTGCCTGGAAGTTTTTGTGGGTATTGCAGTCTGCAGCTGACTATGCACAGGCTTTAGACAGAGGGGGCAGGGAATGGTACCCTTTGTTACCCGGTTATATTTCTCTTAGAATTAAAAAGCAAATTACAAAATTGACCCTTTTGGGATCATAGGTAAAATCCGTAAAATATGTCCTATTTAAAAAAATCATAACTTTTTCCGTAGTTGTTTCATAAAACTTAGGTCGAATGAAATCGAAGCTGAAAGGAAAACACATTCAAATAACACATAATTTCCTTGTTTCCCTACCAAAACGATTTTTCTCAAGTTCTAAAAGGAAAAATTATGTAAACATTTTTTAAAATTCGATCTTCAAAATGTGAAGAAAAATATCATATATCTGATATCTGATATTTCTGAGAGGGTTACCTCAGCTCTTTAGCCTCGTTTTTATCCCCAAAGCACAAGGAACTGTTGGGCAAAATTTCAATATTGTCAGTTTCAAAATGGCATGGGGAAGTGAAAATGAAGATGTTGAGTTCTTGGTGGATGAAAATGATTTTGATGATTTAGCAAGCGAGGATTATAATAAATTGAAGGTCGATGAACTGAAGTTGTTGTGCAAGATGCGTGGACTTGGCTGGTGAAATGGTGTAGAGGATGAAAGACCTCTAAGTTGTTGTTTGCAAATGGAAGGATACTAAGGATGTCTTTACAATCAGCAGTATGAGTAGGGCAGTACCCTCAGAAAGTGATGTTGTCAAAAAGGCACAGATAGGCACTGCTATAAAGATTGTCAGGAAATGTCCCCCGAGTATAACAGCATATCGTCAAAACATGGGAGGGGTTGATACCAATGATCAAACGCTTTCCTATGATAATTTATCAAGGAAGTCATACAGGTGGTGGCTGCCAATTTTTCTGGAGCTTTTCAAGCAGGGCATTGTAAATGCATGGATCCTACAATCTGCACAGCCAAATTCAAGAAAACGTGGCCTAAAAAGCTTTCAAAATAGAACTGTTCCAAAAGCTTATTGGGAAGTTTTCTTCAAGAAAAAGATCATTTCAGCAACAGCCAAATACAACCCAAAGATATAATGGGTTAAAACATTATGTTGTGGAGGTAGAGGAGAGAGGAATTTGTAAAAATGATTGTGGCAGCAAAGTCCAGTACAAGTGCATTGAATGCGATGTTTTCCTTTGTATTGACTGTTTTTTAGGTTACCATTCACCAAAATAAGACTGAAAAAAATGCACAATTGTTTTTGTTTTCTTTCTGTATTTATTTTATATAGTCATTAATGAGTTGGTACTGTTAAATGCATATGGTTTTTAAAGCAGCCCTCTTATTTCTTGGCTTTTTCACTGAAAACATCTGAAATGGACAAATATGTCACAAAACTCACTTTGTTATTCTAAAATTTTATGAAGTATGATAATAAACTTATGTGGAAGACAAATTTCTTGCAAAGTTTTATTGATGAAAAATATTGGTCATATTATTAGGAAGAGAATGCTCACCTTCTCAAACAGTTGATCCCGGCTTTCTTCAAAATGCCTACGTTGCAATTCAATTCGCATTTTACATCCCAACACTTCGGTAGACGCAAACCTAAGTAACGTTGATTTGGGTCTTATTATATCCTGCTTTTATTTGCTTTCTTTATAGCTTGTTATGATTTCCCTTGTACCACAGAATTCTTTGCCCGCACTTTCTTTGGTCAAAAACCTTGGGTTGAAAACGAGTTTAGGCTAGGACAAACATCTTGGAACCGCCTTGTCGGGCTTCAAAAACAACAAAGGAACCATCCCAGTGTCCCTTCCGCCTCTCTCTATGTGCTAAATCTGAGTGTACCCTTTGTCAGAAGTTTTAGAACATTCTAGAGAAGCTTACCTTTGATATTTGCTGACTGATTATGACATTTAAATCTTTATGTAAACACGTATATAACAACGATTATCCTATCCGTCATTTAGGCCAACCTTAATTTAATCGAACTTCCTAGTCAGCCTCGTTTTCATATTTAGCCTCGTAATAGTTGTTCTAGCTCTTTCGGGAGGTTTCTAGCTAAAGTAAATTTAGATTCTCATGTAATAGGTTGCTAACGTCATCATGGCAGAGCTTTCAGGTAAATTCTAATTATAGTTTTGTGGACTCATGGTTATAATATAGGTTCTAGAACTTTCCATTAGAATGGTATATATACCTGTAAACTTTCGGTAGGACTTACTCACGAATTACGAATTGCGAATCATCATTGAGAGTTTAACAAAATTGTGAGTTATTTGGTGTCACTGGGAATTCTATTCGAGCACAGGGCTATCTACGCAGAATTCCCCACACTCTATTCTGTCTGTAAGGTTTTATAAGAAATGATTCAATGGGGAAGGCAAAATCTCCTAGTATAAGGGGAGGAATTTGAACAGCATCTATTTCTTGACAGACCTCTGGAATTATTTTTCCATCTTATATTTTTTCCACAAAGAGGTCAATTGTAAAATGATCAAGTCATGTGAGTTCCCAGGAAATCCACAACTTCCCCAGTTAAAGCGATATTTAGCATCCACTAATGCCATTAAGAAAATTTAATAGAAGTTCTTGAAATTATGATATTCTGATGACCAGGTAGGCATTTAATGGGGATGTGGCATCAATCAACGGCTGCCCAACTACAGGGAAACTGGCAACGCTCTTCCATATCTAACATCTTGCTCTGAAATTCATCTTCAGTTTTTGGCATATTATTAGATACAAACTGCTATCAAAGAAAATAAAAAATTGCTTGGGTGACCTTGTCAAAAATTTTTGTCACTGTAAGGCCTACTATTTTCACTATGCTATAAAGATAGTCCTCTCTACCAAGGCAAGATAGACAGATAGCTAAACGAAGTTCGGGAGAAATGGGTTCTCTAGTAAGCATTTGCCTCTGAAGTTGCAGCCTTATCCTTGCCAGTATCAATTCAAATGTCGATCTTGATACTCATAGGGTTTGCTTGAACCGTTTATTGTCGTAGGTAAACCAGAGTTTGTCTCACCAACCTGTATTTCTTGGCAACCTTCTGCATGACCTAATCCGCTTTTTTGACCGCTTGCTATTTACAAATAAACAAGTAGCTGCTAGTAGCCTCTGTTGTACAATGATAGCCATTCCTTGAATAAAAAATTTCCAACACTTAAGACGATTACGATGCTTTGAAATCATATTCTTCAAAAGCAATATTTTTTCTCTGCAAGTTAAAGCCATCTTGAAAAATTATGGTGATCTATGGCCTGTTTGGATACCAAAGCAACTGGATACAATGGTTGAACGTTTAACTTGACGTCAAGCCAGAGGCGAGCTTATGTCAAACTTATCTAATTAGGTTTGGCACATGAGAAGCACAATGTATAACCTGGGCCTTAAGTACAGCTGCTTACAGAAAAGAAACAAATTGTCATTGACTGCCATATTAACCACCCTTGGAGAAGAATTTTTCAAAGAAAATTATTAAAGGTAAAGAACTGTCTTGATATAACTAGTGTTTAACAATTAATAGTTAAACAAACAACAATTAATTTATTAATTGAAAAATAATCAATAAAAATGGGAGGTAAGGGAATCTTTTTGCCATAGCCTAGCAAGGCAGGCGAACGCTCCCCAAATGCAAAAAAACATCTTTGAAAAGGGATTTTCTCCGTCGTTCACTTCTACCACCCTAATCTTTGGCTACACTTCTGCATAACAGCTGGCTAATATCTATATGAAAAAGAAATGTTCTTATGTATAGGTAGAAGAAATGTATAGGTAAAGTAAGAACACAGTAGGTCATTATTTGGTTGAGAAAACCAAAGATTTTCAAGAAAAAGCCATGGTTGAAGAAGATTGTTTTAATGGATAAGGGGATTTTGCTCCAGGATGTAACACCTGCAATTTCTTCTGCTCCACATAACTCTGCCCTGCATTCAAAACCCATATCAGTAATTCTATTGATGCTTATTTAGCTATGCTTCCCCCCCCCCCAAAAAAAAACATAAAGCTTACACAACTCATCTTTTCTAGATATTGTGAAGCAAGTCTAAAGAGAAAGTCAAGTTCTCAAAGTTATGGAGAAAATGTTCCAAGCTTCAAGAAATCGTCCAAAGGATATGGTAAAACATTGTCTTAAACAAATTCCCGAGCAAATGGTATTGACATTCAAATCGTGGCAGGTTTATTGTTCCCAGTGAGAGTTCGAAGAAAGGTACGAAGTTTTCTTTGGCGATGAGACATCACTGCCTTCTTCTTCGCCATCGGACACGCGTTGCGTTGATGGTTAATTTTCCGACTCAATTTCCTACGAATATTTCATCAAAATAAGTATGACTGAGTTAAATGCCACTGCAATCAAGAAACTAAAGGTTGGTAAATTAAAAGCCAAACTCTCCAAGCGAAATCTATCGATATTGGGAAAGAAAGATGAACTTGCTATGAGGCTCCTGAAAGTGATCGACCATGGCCTACTGAAACTGAAGTCTGATGAGGACAGATATGCAGCGAAGGCAGTGATGTCAGATTCAATAGACACTTAGTTGGATGCAGAAGGCGAGCAAAATGATGCCATATATGGAGAACAGAATGTCAAGGAGGCTTGCTTCAATGATTCATTTTTCAAGTTTTATGATGGAGTCTCAACACCACCTTGAAGACCAATATTTTCAGCAGCCACCAACAGTCTGGGTAAATCACCACCACCTGAAAGATCCACGCCATCTCCACCCGCAGATATCTATATAAGCTTTGAGAGACTAGCGAAATCCGTTGTCGAGCTGCAAAGTCTGCTTCAAACTGAACGGGATACAGACCTTAATCTGCTAGAGGAAAATTTTTCCCTTAAATTGAAATTAGGCAAAAATGTGCCACAGATTGCAAGGTAAACAACCCAGAAAAAACAACAGCAGTAAACAATAGGAACAATCAGATAGAAAGAAAAGAACAATCAGATAAGACAGAAAACAATAACAGCATCAAGTCAAAAAAAATTACCAATTGTCTATGAAGATACTTCTGTTGAAAAGATCGAAAAGGTGCACAAAAAGAAGAATAAAAAGAAGAGAAACAACAGAAGAAATTGAAAAGAGGAAAATACAACACCTAGTACCTCCGCAAGTCCCAAAGGTAAAGAAGGCAGCGCACTTGAGGCATCATCAAATCCCAAAAGTAAAGAATGCAATTCACCCCAGAATCTTGTCTTGTCAATTCTCATTCGAAACAAGCTCATTCAAACAACGAAATTGTAAATACACCATTTGGTTCCACCAGTGTTAATGAGAGTCTGAGAGATGTAGTAGATCAAGGTAGCTAACCCCTCTCAGGCAAAACTTTTTATTTCTTTGTTGTATTTCAATAAAAATTGGTACACATACAGAATTAGAGTTAAAAAAATCAAAAATTCAAGTTTTGTAATAAAATATGCAAATTAGCCAAAATGGCGGATAGAACAATAGCAAAAACAGTAGTTGTGCTTGTGACAATGATTTTTCAACTTGAGTTGAGCTTTTTAGTTTATATTTGTAAAATGTGTTGGAAAAGGGTATTTTTGGTGAATAAGAGAATATCATTGAGATATCTTTTAAGGGTACTGAGAATTTTCATATTCAACATGGTCAACGTTAAACACAGCAGACTTTTGCCTACTTTTTAGCTTCTACCATTGCTCATAGGAAGGGTAGGGCTCTCAAACTGTCTTATTCACTAGGGCAATAGGTGTTAAACATAACCTGAAAATTTCTTCTGAATCTGCTGAAAAATGTTGAAAAATCATTGTCACAAAGGCAACCTGCATGACGTTTTTTACATTTTGAGAAAACGCTTGTTAAACATAAGTATTATGGAAATCGTAGTTCAATGTGCTCCACTTTCATACACATTTCCTTCCTTTTCTTTTTCATGGTCCCACAAACCCTTTTTTGATTGCCCTCAGCTTTTTTCTTCTATTCTTTTCTTTATAAGAGGCCTTTCTTTCTGCAAAAGTTATCCTTTTTCTGTCACATGCTTGAATAGCGAAGTTGGTTTGTTTACCTGGACAGATATGAAACCGTTGCAGAACTCTTGCAATTGATGATGCACCATCATTAAAATGGGTAGCTGCACTTGCAGTGCACAGTTCAACAACTTTTCTACCTTGATAAATTTTTTTAGGGCACCTAGCCCAAATAAGTTTATTCAGAGACTCGTTTGGATTCTGTGTAAATGAATCAAGGCAACTAGTCAACAAAGATTTATCGCTCAAATCATCATAAATTGGCAGCACCACATCAACTATTGCTGAGGGTAGATATGACTTGTGCTTGTAACCTGTCTTTCCATCTGCCTTGTTCTTCTGCCAGGTACACCAAGATTGTTTTCCTACAGGACACAAGTTATGCTGCGGATGAGAATCTGAAGAAGCTAAATGATAAAGTCCTGCTTTTATGTCATTCATCATTCCCTGCAAGTTGTTTTTATTATGACGAATTGCTAATCCATAATAATTCTGCATTTTATTAATCATTTTTTCAGTCAATCTGCCCTTTCCACCAATACCCTTGCCATCTTTTAATTTTTTCTTTCCACAACTTGACTTTAACTTTCTTAACCTTGTTCCTAAGCGCTTTTGGACATGTCCAATACATTCTTTTTTGCTAATTTCAATATCAGCACCATATGGTTTTTCCTTTGAAATTGTAGAGAATGATGAAGAATAACCATCACCAATAAAAGTGGTGTATCTTATCCCATATTTCTCCATGCTTCTTTTAAATATATCCTGTAATCCTTCAACTTCCATGGATCCAGACGATCCTTTATGATTCATACTGCATCTGGATTCATGCCGGATCTGCCACTGCAAGTAAGCGAGTGAATCCTTGTTAAAATCATTTTTCTTTTCACAAGCTTTGCAGTATTTAGACTTTACTTCAAAGTCCAAAACTTTGCCAGATTCATTAGAAACTGCAGTAACAACACCATTTAAAGATGCATGTCCTGGCTTCTGCCATGTACCATCAAAACTAGCTGTAAAATCTATTGAGCCACTTTGTTCCTTAACTTCCTCAACAGCTTCTTTCATGCATGTTTCAGCCTCCTCAAGATAGGCAACATGAAGATTGTCAATCAAACTGTTGTAGTTTTTCTGTGTCATCGGTTTATGCATATTCATTATCATGGAATAAGTGTTCATAGCTTCTAAACCGCAGCCAATGTTTCTGAATGCCATGATCATTCTCACGTTTACTTCCATACTTCTTTTTGTCTTATCAGTCACTGAATTTGAGCTGACAAACTCTTTCTCCCAAGCACAACCTTGGCAAATCAAACAAAATGTGACAGCAAATCCTCTTCGTTTTCCAGTTAGTTCCATTAACCGTAAATTTAAGCTTTTACAAACTGGACAACAGAGACTGCTAAACACGTCCGACAAGATTGCAAAGTCAATTAGGACAAATCCAGAGTTCTCTCCACAATCCTCATTTTCCTTTTCACAATAATAATTTTCATTTTCCTTGTTAATTTTCTTACTTGACCTCGAGAGTGGGGTGGAAGAACATGCCTCAGAATTTGACGGCCTAGGCTGCTCGCCGCCTTGGGAAGGCGTTGTTTCTGCAACTGTTGGTGGTTCAGCTTCTGCCTCATTTCTCTGCTTCTTGCCTTCATCTTTGTGTATGTTTTCGAAAGATGAAGTAGCTTTCCTCTTTCTAGATGTTTTTCGCGTCCTGTTCCGTAAATTACCCATTTCAATACTATGAAAGTCAACTCACGGTTTTCTAGACGACACTGCTTCCCAACAAGAGTAAGGTGCTTCATGTATCACCACCAATTAACCTCTATCCCATTTTGGCCTCATATATTAAAGTGCTTTTCTGGAAGCTGGGAGTTTGAAACTGGGGCAAATTCAACCTCAAATCAGGGAATAAAAACGAAAAATGCGTTGCTATGAACGTTGCTAGGGAAAACCCGTACATTCTGCCTTAAGCAAAATGTAAAAAAAGCATACTTGCGAAATTCATTCAACACTGTAACTTCCCCATGCCAAAGGTAGTGTTTCGAGGTATTTTCAGGAATATTTTCAAAATTTCAATGAAAAAAAGAATTTTGGACATTTTGAGAGGGGTTAGCTACCTCAAGTTGTATCCAGTGAGAGGTAGTAAACCAACAAGTGTAGAAGCCTTTGTAGTTGAGCATATCTCAGAAATTAGAAATGAGCATCCAGAGATTGTTAAGCATAAATTTCAACACCTTACTAAATTATGGTTCTCAGATGTTTCAGCTGAGCAAGAATCTTTGACCATTGATGTTTTAATTGGTAATGATTTCATGTATGAGCTGCAAGGGGATACAGTTATACGAGGGGAGCCAGGAGAGCCTGTGGCTGTGCAAACAAAGCTTGGATGGGTGTTGTCAGGACCATTAACTGGTATGAAAGTTGCTTCTTGTGGAAATTCTAGTGTTTATCTCATTCTTGATTCTTCAGCTGCAAATAATGTTAAATCGTCTATGGATAATGAGGTACAGAAATTATGGGATTTGGAGACAATTGGCATAAGAGCTACAGATGAAGTTCATGATGATTTGCTTGACAATAAATCCTTTACAGGCAAAAGGTATTCTGTTAAATTGCCTCAGAAGGTGGGGCATAAATCCCTTCCATCTAATTTTACGAACAGTCTTTGCAGGTTGAAAGGGCAGCTAGGAAAATTGAAGAAAGAACCAGAGGTGCTGCAAACATATGATAACATTATTAAAGAGCAATTGAAAGATGGCATTATTGAGAAAGTTGCAGAGTTAGAAGCCAGTGAGAGATGACATTATTTACAGCATCAAGCCGTTGTTCGAGAGAATGCAGAGACCACAAAAGTAAGGATAGTGTATGATGCTTCATCAAAGGAAGGAAAAACAGGTACCTCACTTAATAATTGTTTACATGTAGGCCCACCACTCACACCTTTGTTATTTGATATATTGTTAAGGTTTAGGGAGTTCAAAGTACCTATGGTAGCAGATATTGAAAAAGCCTTTTTGAATGTGGAAATAGATCAATCAGATAGAGATGTTTTGAGATTTTTATGGGTCAAAGACATTCATAATGAGGATTCTCCTGTTGAAGTTTATCGCTTTAAAAGAGTTGCCTTTGAGTAAATTCATCTCCATTTCTTTTGAATGCTGTGTTAAGATTCCATATCAACAAATATAAGGAGGAGGACCCAGATTTTGCTATGAAACTTGCTGATGATTTCTATGTGGACGATTTCGTGTTCTGAGCTTCAAATTTAATTGATGCAAAAAATCTATACTTGAAAGCTGTGGAAAGAATGAAAGAATGTGGTTTCAGCCTCAGAAAATTGAAGAGTAGTAATTTAGATTTGGTAGAAGAATTCTCTAAGCATGATTTTGAAGTTTCAGAGGCTAAAGAGAGTGAAGAAACTTATGCTAGAGAAATGCTAGGTAGCAAATTATTGGGAGATAGAACAAAGGTTCTAGGTATATCATGGAACACTTTCAATGACACTTTTGAGTGTAACCTGAGTAAAGTAACTGAAGTGATGGAGGGTGAGAATATCACAAAGAGAAAGATATTGAGTTGTTTAGCCAAACTTGTTGATCCACTAGGACTTGTCAGTGCAGTCACAGTAAGTAGAAAGGTTCTATTTCAAGATTTAGGTGTGGAAAAAAATGATTGGGATGAGGAGCTTCCAGAAGACAAGAAATGTAGGTGGGAGAAAATTGTTAATGATTCAAAAACTGTTGGAAAAATAACCCTACCACGTTGCTTGTACGACTTGGATGCTATGAATGTTAAAAATTGTTGGCTACATGGATTTGCAGATGCAAGTCAGCAGGCATATAGTGTCATGGTTTATTTGGTCTATGAATCAGATAAGGGTATACATTCTCAACTTGTCTGTGCAACAACTCGTGTTGCACCATTGAAAAAACTAAGCATTCCACGTTTAGAATTAATGTCGGCCAGAATTTTGGCCACCCTAATGAAAGTTGTTTTTTCAGCTTTGAAGTCACAATTGAACAAAGTAGGATGTAGGTATTGGCTTGACAGCAAGACTGCTCTCTATTGGATAAACAATGCAGGTTACTGGAAGCAGTTTGTACAACACAGAGTCGACGAAATATTGAAAGTGTCAGAGAAAGAAAACTGGGGACATTGCGCGGGTGCTTGCAATCCAGCGGACTTGGGTTCAAGAGGGGTTCAAGGGAGTGCATTGGTTGAAAATAGACTTTGGTGGCATGGACCACATTGATTATTGATGGGGGGAGAACACTGGCCCAATGAACTGCTGTTAACAGTCCTTTTCGTGAGCAAAATTACGCGTGTGTGGCAAATCGCACATGTAAACAAATTTGCGCATGCGATCGCACTTGTAAGAAAATTTGAAGTACAAACCTTATAAAATTCGTAAAAGGAGCAAGAAGGAAAAAGCCACTCGAATACATGCAAGAGCAAAACTCAATTAATCAATACATAACAGATTTTGTTGCCCTTAGCAGCCATCTTTTAAAAGTCGTCGTAACTCTCCAAAGTTACAAGAGCAAGTAAAAATTGTTTCCAACAGCTACTTGCTTTCAGGGCCTAATTACGTTTTGACAGGAAATCAGTTATTATACTTAACATGCTAATGGCGACTTAGCTGAAAGACGAGACGCTAAGTTGAATGGAGCACTCAGTCAAAAGCCAAACATCACTTCCGAAAATTGGGAAAATCATTGGGACCATGGGAAATTGATGTTAAAGGGCCTCTCCAGCAAAAAAAAAAAATTTTAATGACTTAAAAGTTAGCATATGGTGCGTGTATTATGACAAAGTCATTGTTTTTGAAAAATTCCAATTAGTTTAGAAGTTGTAAGGCTTTAAAGTTGCACCTTTCCGAGAAAAAAAACGACAAAAGCTGAATCAGTTTGGTGACATTCTGACATCACAATGTGCGGCTCTCGTTCGCCATGAATTTCGTATATCTTCCACCGAAGCGTGAAGGACTCATGGTCACGCGTTGATAACTGCATCCAGTTCCAGTTCCTGTTCCAGCTCTTTCCTCGCGTATAATTAATCAAAATTGTCACTTCAGTTGTTCTCCAGAAACGATGAACAACTAAAGGCTTCAGAATTGGTGTCTGAAATGCTCAAACTAAAAGCTGGCGGAACAGAACTGAAAGTACCATCACTTGCAGTGTTCAATTTGCGAATCGCCGTCGTTCGATTCGGTTTGAGGCGAGACTATCTGAAATACACTGTGACGTCAAAATTGGGTCACAGTGTCACCAAACCAAAAATTTGTGTCGGTTAATTAAATTAAATTATCGAAATGCAAGAGCTTATATCTCAGAAACTGTAAAGAAATATCGAAAAACAAATAACGAATTCGTGATCAGCAGGCTCAACTTCTTTATAAAAATTGCCAATAAAATGCAAGTGCAAAATTTGGCTGGAGAGGCCCTTTAACAGAAAACTGCAAAAACACATGTTTGCGCGTGTGGTCAAAAGCACGCGCAATTTAACTTGCGCGTGTGCAGGCGTGTGCGGGTGCGATCGCACGCGCTAAACGAAAAGGACTGTGTTAAGTGAAACCCAAGATGTTGTAGAGGAACAAAAGAAATCAGCAATGGTTCTAACAGCTGTGGAAGAAAAGAAAACAGGTATGTCAGCAATTATTGACATCAGCAGGTTTAGCTCTCTAGGTCGCCTTTTAAGAGTAACTGCTTATGTATTGTGTTTTGTTGCTAACTTAAAAGCAAAAGTTCATAATCAGCTTCCTGTGAATTTAGAAAAACTCATAGACAGGGCATTTACTGTAACAATCTAGCAAACTGGGTAACCGAAATTTTTGAAGTGGATATGACTTCTATGATGGTTGGTCGTCAATTTAAGCCTTGGGCACATTCTCGAAAATCTGTTGTTGTCACGTGATCGATGACGTATCTACTCCCCGTTCAGTAAAATACTAACGATTACATTTTTTAAATCTGAGTAAACCATTCGAAAGAACATGCAAAACTGAATCAAAAATTATAAAACACTTACATTGTTTGACTTATAGTTTCGAAATTATAGATGTTTGAACTTTCTATGACGTCATCAAAATGGCCGCCACTGGATTTTGTAAAGAGCAATTTTTTAATTGTGTGCGCTCTACTAAAACAATTTTTAGCAACCAAATTGTTTTGTAAACATACAAGTTAGGTTTCAGTTATGCCGAGATAAGCTGCCCTTGAAGTTACCATCCTCTAACATCATAGTTTACAAACTTGAGGCAACTATTCATCCATTGAGTCCCCACTGGACGAAAAGTCTGAAACTTCCCATTCACTTTCGTGTTCATCGATTATAGATGTTTCCTCTCTTGATTTCTTCTCTTGTCATTTTGCTATCCCCATCATAATCCATATGTGTACTGGGAAATGCATCTCTTTGGTGGTGTTTTCTCTTCTTTGAAGTGTGTTTTTGGCCCTTAATTTCATCATCACTCATCTCCGCATCGCCATCGTTGTCATAGTTGAGATTTTTGGCTGCTTTCTTTCTGCTTGATGAAAGTGAAAGAGGCAACTGCTTGCCTTTAAACCAGATCGGAACTACAACCTGCTTTTCCTCATCCCATTTTCAGCCGTGATTTTCAAAGCTAACTGTCTCAATGTTAACTTCACAACAGCGGACCCAGTGGAACCATTGGTAATTTGCTCGTCTGAATCTGGATCAGGAGCAATTGACGATGAAGACTTTGATTTCAT